GTCACTGTCACTGTCCCCTCAGTGTCACCGTGACACTGTCACTGTCACTGCCGCCTCAGTGTCACCATGATATTGTCATTGTCACTGTCACTGCTGCCTCACAGTGACACTGTCACTGTCACTGCCCCCTCAGCATCACACTGTCAGTGTCACTGTCACTGCCCCCTCAGCGTCACACTGTCACTGTCACTGTCCCCTCAGTGTCACCATGACATTGTCACTGTCACTGTCACTGTCACTGTCACAGCTCCCTCAGTGTCACTGTCACTGTCAATGTCACTGCTCCCTCAGTGTCACTGTCACTGTCACTGTCACTGCTGCCTCAGTGTCACCATGATATTGTCATTGTCACTGTCACTGCTGCCTCACAGTGACACTGTCACTGTCACTGCCCCCTCAGCGTCACACTGTCAGTGTCACTGTCACTGTCCCCTCAGTGTCACTGTCACTGTCACTGTCACTGTCCCCTCAGTGTCACACTGTCACTGTCACTGTTACTGTCCCCTCAGTGTCACACTGTCACTGTCACTGTCCCCTCAGTGTCACCATGACATTGTCACTGTCACTGTCACTGTCACTGTCACTGCCCCCTCAGTGTCACACTGTCACTGCCACTCCCATGGGCACCACAGGTTGGCACCGCTGTGCCCCATAACCCATGGGCATCACTGTGCCCCACAGCCTTGGCACCACAGGCTGGCACCGCTGTGCCCCATGGGCACCACAGGTTGGCACAGCTGTGCCCCACAGCCTTGGCACCACAGGCTGGCACCGCTGTGCCCCATGGGCACCACAGGCTGGCACCGCTGTGCCACCCTGTGCCCAACCTCTCCCTGCCTGTGCTCCCTTGGCACAACCACCGACGGGCACAGCGCCAAACCAACGCGGTGCCACCAAAACCAAACCAGCTTTGCCACCTTGCCCCGAGTGCCAACGGTGCCCGGAGCCAACAAAAAACCCCGATCCCAATGCCAGGATAAATGCCAGGGTGGTTTTTAGGGTGGCACACCATGAAAATGATGGAACGATCATTTCGGTGCCAACCCGGTGCCAATTTTGTTAATTCACGAAATGAATGAATTAGCAGAAATTGAAAACGAAAGGTTGGCCACGACGAGAACAGGGTGGCACAGGGTGGCACGGCGGTGCCAACCTCAGTCCAGCGGCTGCGGCTCGGCGATGGGCACGGCGTGCGCATCTCGACCCGATGGGCACCGATGCCACCCTGGAGGGATTTCTCTCATTCCAGAACCCGGTTGAGAGGCGAGAAGCGGGCACAGGGTGGCACAGGGTGGCACAGGGTGGCACGGCGGTGCCAAGCTCAGTCCAGCGGCTGCGGCTCGGCGATGGGCATGGTGTCATTTCCTCATGCCAACGGTGCCACTTTCTCATTCCAACGGTGCCATTTCCTCATGCCAACGGTGCCACTTTCTCATTCCAACGGTGCCATTTTCTCGTGCCAACGGTGCCATTTTCTTGTGCCAACGGTGCCACTTTCTCATGCCAAAGGTGTCATGACAAAGGTGCCACTTCCTCATGCCAACGGTGCCATTTCCTCATTCCAAAGGCGCCATTTTCTCATGCCAACGGTGCCACTTTCTCATTCCAACGGTGCCATTTTCTCGTGCCAACGGTGCCACTTTCTCATGCCAAAGGTGTCATGACAAAGGTGCCACTTTCTCATTCCAAAGGCGCCATTTCCTCGTGCCAACGGTGCCACTTTCTCATGCCCAAGGTGTCATGCCAATGGTGCCACTTTCTCGTGCCAACGGTGCCACTTCCTCCAATCTCGGAGTGATTTTTCTCATTCTCCAACCTGGTTCAGACGTGAAGCGCGGGCACAGGGGGAGGTGGCAGTGCCATGCTCGGCCACAGGGTGGCACAGGGAGGTGCCAGTGCCGGTGATGGGCATGGCCTGCAGACCATGGGCACGGTGCCAGCTGAATCTCGATCCGACATCTCCGATCCTGAAGCGATTTTTCCCATTCTCGAACCGGGTTTAAAGGCGACAAGCGGGCGCGGGGCGGCACAGGGCAGGGTGGCAGTGCCAACCTCAGTCCAGCGGCTGCGGCTCGGCGATGGGCACGGCGTGCGCATCTCAACCCGATGGGCACCGATGCCATCCTGGAGGGATTTCTCTCATTCCAGAACCCGGTTGAGAGGCGAGAAGCGGGCACAGGGTGGCACAGGGTGGCACAGGGTGGCACAGGGTGGCACGGCGGTGCCAAGCTCAGTCCAGCGGCTGCGGCTCGGCGATGGGCATGGTGTCATTTCCTCATGCCAACGGTGCCACTTTCTCATTCCAACGGTGCCATTTCCTCATGCCAACGGTGCCACTTTCTCATTCCAACGGTGCCATTTCCTCGTGCCAACGGTGCCATTTTCTTGTGCCAACGGTGCCATTTTCTTGTGCCAACGGTGCCACTTTCTCATGCCCAAGGTGTCATTTCCTCGTGCCAACGGTGTCATGACAAAGGTGCCACTTCCTCATGCCAACGGTGCCATATCCTCATTCCAAAGGCGCCATTTTCTCATGCCAACGGTGCCACTTTCTCATTCCAACGGTGCCATTTCCTCGTGCCAACGGTGCCACTTTCTCATGCCAAAGGTGTCATGACAAAGGTGCCACTTTCTCATTCCAAAGGCGCCATTTTCTCGTGCCAACGGTGCCACTTTCTCATGCCCAAGGTGTCATGCCAATGGTGCCACTTTCTCATGCCAACGGTGCCACTTCCTCCAATCTCGGAGTGATTTTTCTCATTCTCCAACCTGGTTCAGACGTGAAGCGCGGGCACAGGGGGAGGTGGCAGTGCCATGCTCGGCCACAGGGTGGCACAGGGAGGTGCCAGTGCCGGTGATGGGCATGGCCTGCAGACCATGGGCACGGTGCCAGCTGAATCTCGATCCGACGTCTCCGATCCTGAAGCGATTTTTCCCATTCTCGAACCGGGTTTAAAGGCGACAAGCGGGCGCGGGGCGGCACAGGGTGGCACGGCGGTGCCAACCTCAGTCCAGGGGCTGCGGCTCGGCGATGGGCATGGTGTCATTTCCTCATGCCAACGGTGCCATTTCCTCATTCCAAAGGCGCCATTTTCTCATGCCAACGGTGCCACTTTCTCATTCCAACGGTGCCATTTTCTCGTGCCAACGGTGCCATTTCCTCGTGCCAACGGTGCCAAGCCCAACCCTGCCAAGTCTCTCATCAAACCTTTCCCTTGCCCGCCTTCCGACCACCGAGTTCTGCCAAGAACCCGAACCCGAACCCCGCGCGTTGTGCCAAGAGCGAGGGGGCAAACACGAGCTTACAACCTGGCTGAGAGGCGACAAGCGGGCACAGGCTGGCACAGGGGCAGGGTGCCAGTGCCAGCCTCGGCGATGGGCATGGCGTGCAGCACCAGGACGTGGTGCCAGCTGGATCTCGATCCGACGTCTCCGATCCTGAAGCGATTTTTCCCATTCTCGAACCGGGTTTAAAGGCGACAAGCGGGCACGGGGTGGCACAGGGTGGCACAGCGATGCCAAGCTCAGTCCAGCGGCTGCGGCTCGGCGATGGGCATGGTGTCATTTCCTCATGCCAACGGTGCCACTTTCTCATGGCAAAGGTGCCATTTCCTCATGCCAACGGTGCCACTTTCTCATTCCAACGGTGCCACTTTGTCATTCCAACGGTGCCATTTCCTCATGCCAACGGTGCCATTTTCTTGTGCCAACGGTGCCACTTTCTCATTCCAACGGTGCCATTTTCTCGTGCCAACGGTGCCACTTTCTCATGCCCAAGGTGTCATGCCAATGGTGCCACTTTCTCGTGCCAACGGTGCCACTTCCTCCAATCTCGGAGTGATTTTTCTCATTCTCCAACCTGGTTCAGACGTGAAGCGCGGGCACAGGGGGAGGTGGCAGTGCCATGCTCGGCCACAGGGTGGCACAGGGAGGTGCCAGTGCCAGTGATGGGCATGGCGTGCAGCACCAGGACGTGGTGCCAGCTGGATCTCGATCCGACATCATCTCAATCTCAAGGAAGCGATTTTTCTCATTCTCGAACCGGGTTTAAAGGCGACAAGCGGGCACGGGGCGGCACAGGGTGGCACGGCGGTGCCAACCTCAGTCCAGCGGCTGCGGCTCGGCGATGGGCATGGTGTGCAGCACCTCGTCCAGCAGCTGCAGCTGGATCTGCATCCAACAACTCCAATCTCAGAGCGATTTTTCTCATTGTAGAACCTGGTTCGGAGGTGACAAGCGGGCACGGGGCAGGGCGGCGGTGCCAACCTCAGTCCAGCGGCTGCGGCTCGGCGATGGGCATGGTGTGCAGCACCTCGTCCAGCAGCTGCAGGGCGCGGTGCAGGTGGATCTCGATCCAGCACGGCGTCTCCTTGATGCTCTGCCGTGGGTAGTCGGGGCCCCAGCCCTTGACGAAGCTCATGCGCAGGATGCACAGGCGCCGCAGGTCGTCCACGCCGATGCCAGCTGCGGCCGACAGGCCTGGCACGGGAGAGGGCACGGTGAGAGGGGTTGGTAAGCGGTGGGAGAGGGTGGGTGGTATGGTATATGTCATTGGTTGGCACAGCTCGTCGGCTGGCACACCCTCCTGCCTGGCATGGCACGCCTGTCCCTTCACAGCTGTCCTTTCACACCCGGCATGGCACACCCCATTGCCTGGCATGGCACACCTGTCCCTTCACACCTCATTGCCTGGCACACCCTTGTGGCTGGCCTGGCACACCTGGCCTGGCACACCTGGCCTGGCACACCTCATTGCCTGGCATGGCACATCTATCCCTTCACACCTGTCCTTTCACACCTGGCCTGGCACACCCTCCTGCCTGGCATGGCACGCCTGTCGTGGCACACCTGGCATGGCACAGCTCATTGCCTGGCATGGCACACTTGACCTGTCCCTTCATACCTGTCCTGGCACAGCTCATTGCCTGGCACACCTGGCATGGCACACCTCATTGCCTGGCATGGCACACCTGGCATGGCACACCTCATTGCCTGGCACACACTCCTGCCTGGCATGGCACACCTGTCCTGGCACAACTGTCCTGGCACACCTGTCCTGGCACAGCTCATTGCCTGGCACACACTCCTGCCTGGCATGGCACACCTGTCCTGGCACACCTGTCCTGTCCTCCACACCTCCTGCCTGGCATGGCACACCTGTCCTGGCACACCTCATTGCCTGGCATGGCACAGCTCATTGCCTGGCATGGCACACCTGTCCTGTCCTTTACACCTGTCCTGGCACACTCTCCTGCCTGGCATGGCACACCTCATTGCCTGGCACACCCTTGTGGCTGGCATGGCACACCTGTCCTGGCACACCTGGCATGGCACACCCTCCTGCCTGGCATGGCACACCTGTCCTGGCACACCTGTCCTGGCACACCTCATTGCCGGGCATGGCACACCTGTCCTGGCACACCTGTCCTGGCACAGCTCATTGCCTGGCATGGCACACTTGACCTGTCCCTTCATACCTGTCCTGGCACAGCTCATTGCCTGGCACACCTGGCATGGCACACCTCATTGCCTGGCATGGCACAGCTGTCCTGGCACAGCTCATTGCCTGGCACACCTGGCATGGCACACCTCATTGCCTGGCATGGCACAGCTGGCATGGCACAGCTCATTGCCTGGCACACCCTCCTGCCTGGCATGGCACACCTGTCCTGGCACAACTGTCCTGGCACACCCGTCCTGGCACACCTCATTGCCTGGCACACACTCCTGCCTGGCATGGCGCACCTGTCCTGGCACACCTGTCCTGTCCTCCACACCTCCTGCCTGGCATGGCACACCTGTCCTGGCACACCTCATTGCCTGGCATGGCACAGCTCATTGCCTGGCACGGCACACCTGTCCCATCACAGCCTGCTGCGTGGCATGGCACACCCTCATTGCCTGGCATGCCACACCTGTCCTGGCACACCTGGCATGGCACAGCTCATTGCCTGGCATGGCACGCCTGTCCCTTCACACCTCATTGGCTGGCACACCCTCCTGCCTGGCATGGCACACCTCATTGCCTGGCACACCCTTGTGGCTGGCCTGGCACACCTGTCCTGGCACACCTGGCATGGCACAGCTCATTGCCTGGCATGGCACACCTGCCCTGTCCTTTACACCTGTCCTGGCACACTCTCCTGCCTGGCATGGCACACCTGTCCTGGCACACCTGTCTTGGCACACCTCATTGCCTGGCATGGCACACCTGTCCTGGCACACCTGTCCTGGCACACCTCATTGCCTGGCACACCTCATTGCCTGGCACACCCTCCTGCCTGGCATGGCACACCTGTCCTGGCACACCTGTCCTGGCACACTCTCCTGCCTGGCATGGCACACCTGTCCTGGCACACCTGTCTTGGCACACCTCATTGCCTGGCACACCTCATTGCCTGGCACACCCTTGTGGCTGGCCTGGCACACCTGTCCTGGCACGCCTGTCTTGGCACAGCTCATTGCCTGGCATGGCACGCCTGTCTCCCACTGTGCCAGGCTTCTCCATGCCCACCCCTGTCATGGGCAGGGACAGCGCCCACTGGGCCAGGCTGCTCCATGCCCATCCAGTCCCTGTGCCAGCCCAGTGTGCCACCCCATTGTCCCTGTGCCATCCCAGTGTCACTGTGCCATCCCAGTGTGCCACCCCAGTGTCCCTGTGCCACCCCATTGTCCCACCCCAGTGTGCCACCCCAATGTGCCATCCCAGTGTCCCTGTGCCAGCCCAGTGTCCCACCCCAGTGTCCCTGTGCCAGCCCATTGTGCCACCCCAGTGTCCCTGTGCCACCCCATTGTCCCACCCCAATGTGCCACCCCAGTGTCCCTGTGCCACCCCATTGTCCCACCCCAGTGTCCCTGTGCCACCCCAGTGTGCCACCCCATTGTCCCTGTGCCACCCCAGTGTCCCTGTGCCACCCCAGTGTCCCTGTGCCAGCCCAGTGTGCCAGCCCAGTGTGCCATCCCAGTGTCCCAGTGCCACCCCAGTGTCCCTGTGCCACCCCATTGCCCCACCCCAGCGTCCCTGTGCCACCCCAGTGTCCCGGTGCCATCCCAGTGTGCCACCCCATTGTCCCACCCCATTGCCCCACCCCAGTGTCCCTGTGCCACCCCATTGCCCCACCCCAGTGTCCCTGTGCCACCCAGTGTCCCGGTGCCAGCCCGGCGTCACTCACTGATGGCGGGCGCGATGCCACCCACGGAGCCGGGCCCGGGGATGTTGCCCGCCACGGCTGCGGCCTGGGCGGCGGCGGCGGCCTGGGCGGTGGCCGCCTGTTGCTGCATCTGCCGGTGGCACTGCCGCAGGTCGAACACCTGCCGGGGCAAACGGGCACGGTTGGCACAGGGGGTGCCCGTCCGTGCCAACCGTGCCCGGCGCGGGGGGCGGCGATCCTCGCCGTGCCCGCCGTTTGCGACGCTTCCAGTCCTGCCGATACAAGTGTCCCTGTGCCACCCCAGTGTCCCTGTGCCACCCCAGTGTGCCAGCCCAGTGTGACACCCCAGTGTGCCAGCCCAGTGTCCCTGTGCCACCCCAGTGTGCCAACCCAGTGTCCCTGTGCCACCCCAGTGTGCCAGCCCAGTGTGCCACCCCAGTGTCAGTGTGCCATCCCAGTGTGCCACCCCAGTGTCCCTGTGCCACCCCAGTGTCCCTGTGCCACCCCAGTGTGCCAGCCCAGTGTGACAACCCAGTGTCCCTGTGCCACCCTCCTGTGCCACCCCAGTGTCCCTGTGCCACCCCAGTGTGCCATCCCAGTGTCCCTGTGCCAGCCCAATGTGCCACCCCAATGTCCCTGTGCCAGCCCAGTGTCCCTGTCCCATTCCAGTGTCCCTGTGCCATCCCAGTGTGCCACCCCAGTGTCCCTGTGCCACCCCAGTGTGCCAGCCCAGTGTCAGTGTGCCATCCCAGTGTGCCACCCCAGTGTCCCTGTGCCACCCCAGTGTGCCAGCCCAGTGTGACAACCCAGTGTGCCACCCCGGTGTCCCTGTGCCACCCCAGTGTCCCAGTGCCAGCCCAGTGTCCCTGTGCCACCCCAGTGTGCCACCCCAGTGTCCCTGTGCCACCCCAGTGTGCCAGCCCAGTGTCCCTGTGCCACCCCAGTGTGCCAGCCCAGTGTCAGTGTGCCACCCCAGTGTCAGTGTGCCATCCCAGTGTGCCACCCCAGTGTCCCTGTGCCACCCCAGTGTGCCAGCCCAGTGTGACAACCCAGTGTGCCAGCCCAGTGTCCCTGTGCCACCCCAGTGTGTCACCCCAGTGTGCCAGCCCAGTGTCCCTGTGCCACCCCAGTGTGCCAGCCCAGTGTGCCAGCCCAGTGTCCCTGTGCCACCCTCCTGTGCCACCCCAGTGTCCCAGCCCAGTGTGCCAACCTGGTGTCCCTGTGCCACCCCAGAGTCCCTGTGCCACCCCAGTGTGCCACCCCAATGTCCCTGTGCCAGCCCAGTGTGCCACCCCAGTGTGCCAGCCCAGTGTCCCTGTGCCACCCCAGTGTTCCAGCCCAGTGTCCCTGTGCCACCCCAGTGTGCCACCCCAGTGTCCCTGTGCCACCCTCCTGTGCCACCCCAGTGTCCCAGCCCAGTGTGCCAACCTGGTGTCCCTGTGCCACCCCAGAGTCCCTGTGCCACCCCAGAGTGCCATCCCAGTGTCCCTGTGCCAGACCAGTGTGCCACCCCAATGTCCCTGTGCCAGCCCAGTGTGCCACCCCAGTGTGCCATCCCAGTGTCCCTGTGCCAGACCAGTGTGCCACCCCAATGTCCCTGTGCCAGCCCAGTGTGCCATCCCAGTGTGCCAGCCCAGTGTCCCTGTGCCACCCCAGTGTTCCAGCCCAGAGTCCCTGTGCCACCGCAGTGTCCCTGTGCCACCCCAGTGTGCCACCGCAGTGTCCCTGTGCCACCCCAGTGTGCCAGCCCGGTGTGACAACCCAGTGTCCCTGTCCCATTCCAGTGTCCCTGTGCCACCCCAGTGTGCCAGCCCAGTGTCCCTGTGCCACCACAGTGTGCCAGCCCAGTGTCCCTGTGCCACCCCAGTGACCCTGTGCCACCCCAGTGTGCCACCCCAGTGTCCCTGTGCCACCCTCCTGTGCCACCCCAGTGTCCCAGCCCAGTGTGCCAACCCGGTGTCCCTGTGCCACCCCAGTGTGCCATCCCAGTGTCCCTGTGCCAGCCCAATGTGCCACCCCAATGTCCCTGTGCCACCCCAGTGTGCCACCCCAGTGTCCCTGTGCCACCCCAGTGTGCCACCCCAGTGTCCCTGTGCCACCCCAGGGTGGCTTCCTATACACCCTAACCCCAACCCTGCCCCAGGGTGCTGTTATTTCTCTATACTGAAAACCACCTGTGCAATATTGACAATAACCACCCGACGCCCATCACCAATGTTAAGACAGCGAGCTCCTACTCCAAACCAACCTGGGAGCGCCACCACAAGATGGCGGCCAAGAAGAAGAAGAAGAAGAAGAAGAAGAAGAAGAAGAAGAAGGAGAAGAAGAAGAAGAAGAAGAAGGAGAAGAAGAAGAAGAAGAAGAAGAAGAAGAAGAAGAAGAAGGAGAAGAAGAAGAAGAAGAAGAAGAAGAAGAAGAAGAAGAAGAAGAAGGAGAAGAAGAAGAAGAAGAAGGAGAAGAAGAAGAAGAAGAAGAAGGAGAAGAAGAAGAAGAAGAAGGAGAAGAAGAAGAAGAAGAAGAAGAAGGAGAAGAAGAAGAAGAAGAAGAAGGAGAAGAAGAAGAAGAAGAAGAAGAAGAAGAAGAAGAAGAAGAAGAAGAAGAAGAAGAAGAAGAAGGAGAAGGAGAAGAAGAAGAAGAAGAAGAAGAAGGAGAAACGCTGGACACCCCCAGTTCCGCCATTTTGACCTCCTGAACCCCCAATTCTACAAACCCCCCCGAAACAATCGACTTTTCCACCCGATGGCTGAACCCCACCTTGATGTAGGCGCTGGGGTTAAGGTTAGGGTTAGGGTTAGGGTTAGGGTTAGGGTTAGGGTTTGGGTTAGGGTTAGGGTTAGGGTTAGGGTTAGGGTTAGGGTTAGGTTTAGGGGTTAGGGTTAGGGTTAGGGTTAGGGTTAGGGTTAGGTTTAGGTCTAGGGTTAGGGTTAGGGTTAGGGTTAGGGTTAGGGTTAGGGTTAGGGTTAGGGATAGTGTTAGGGTTAGGGTTAGGGTTAGGTTAGGGTTAGGGTTAGGGTTAGGGTTAGGGTTAGGGTTTAGGGTTAGGGTTAGGGTTAAGGTTAGGGTTAGGGTTAGGGGTTAGGGTTAGGGTTAGGGTTAGGGTTAGGGTTAGGGTTAGGGTTAGGTTAGGGTTAGGGTTAGGGTTAGGGTTAGGGTTTAGGGTTAGGGTTAGGGTTAAGGTTAGATTTTTTGGGGGTTTTTATAAGGGTTAGGGTTAGGGTTAGGGTTAGGGTTAGGGTTAGGGTTAGGGTCAGGGTCAGGGGCAGGGTCAGGGTTAGGTCTAGGGTTAGGCTTAGTGTGTTAGTGTTAGGTTTAGGGGTTAGGGTTAGGGGTTAGGGTTAGGGTTAGGGTTAGGGTTAGAGTTAGGGTTAGATTTTTCGGGGGTTTTTAGAAGGGTTAGGGTTAGGGTTAGGGTTAGGGTGTTAGTGTTAGGGTGTTAGTGTTAGGGTTTGGGGGTTTGGCTTAGGGTTAGTGTTAGATTTTTTGGGGAGTTTTTAGAACAGGGGTTCAGCTTCACTTTCCCACCCGATGGCAAAGCCCACCTTGATGTAGGCGTTGGGTTAGGGTTAGGGTTAGGGTTAGGGTTAGGGTTAGGGTTAGGGTTAGGTTAGGGTTAGGGTTAGGGTTAGGGTTAGGGTTAGGGTTAGGGTTAGGTCTAGGGTTAGGGTTAGGGGTAGGGTTAGGGTTAGGTTAGGGTTAGGGTTCAGGTTAGGGTTAGGGTTAGGGTTAGGGTTAGGGTGTTAGTGTTAGGGTTTGGGGGTTTGGTTAGGGTTAGGGTTAGGGTTAGGGTTAGGGTTAGGGTGTTAGGGTTTGGGGGTTTGGCTTAGGGTCAGGGTTAGGGTTAGGGTTAGGGTTAGGGTGTTAGTGTTAGGGTTTGGGGGTTTGGCTTAGGGTCAGGGTTAGGGTTAGGGTTAGGGTTAGGGTTAGGGTTAGGGTTAGGTTAGGGTTAGGGTTCAGGTTAGGGTTAGGGTTAGGGTTAGGGTTAGGGTTAGGGTTAGGGTGTTAGGGTTTGGGGGTTTGGCTTAGGGTCAGGGTTAGGGTTAGGGTTAGGGTTAGGGTGTTAGTGTTAGGGTTTGGGGGTTTGGCTTAGGGTCAGGGTTAGGGTTAGGGTTAGGGTTAGGGTGTTAGTGTTAGGGTTTGGGGGTTTGGCTTAGGGTTAGTGTTAGGGTTAGGGTTAGGGTTAGGGTTAGGGTTAGAGTTTGGATAGGGTTATGGTTAGGGTTAGGTTTAGTGTTAGATTTTTTGGGGGGTTTTTAGAACAGGGGTTCAGCTTCACTTTCCCACCCGATGGCGAACCCCACCTTGATGTAGGCGCTGGGGTAGATCTTGTGCACGGCGTCGCCCGGCGCCCTGCCCGCCTCGCGGTCCAGGTAGTAGCTCTGCACGAAGACGGCGTGGTCGCTCAGGCAGCGCACCCAGACGTCGCCCTCGCCCTTGCACTCCAGCTGCACGCCCTTGCCGATGTGCAACCTGCAGGGGACGGGGGGGGGGGAAAAAGGGGGAACGGGGTGGCGGCGGCGCTGCAGGAAATGCACGCGCTGCAGGGGAACGGGCGGGAATGCAGGCGCTGCGGGGAATGGGATGTGAGGGGTGCAGGAAATGCAAACACTGCAGGGAACAGGCGGGAATGCACACACTGCAGGGAATGGGATGTGAGTGGTGCAGGAAATGCAAACACTGCAGGGAATGGGATGTGAGTGGTGCAGGAAATGCAAACACTGCAGGGAATGGGATGTGAGTGGTGCAGGAAATGCAAACACTGCAGGGAATGGGATGTGAGCGCTGCAGGAAATGCAAACACTGCAGGGAATGGGATGTGAGTGGTGCAGGAAATGCAAACACTGCAGGGAATGGGATGTGAGTGCTGCAGGGAATGCACGCGCTGACACACACACACACCCAGCACACACACACACACACAGAGCTGATCACACCCAGCACACACACACACACACACACTCACTCACACATTCCCAGCACACCCAGGGTCACTCACACACACTCAGGGCACACCCAGGGCACACCCAGGGTCACTCACACACACTCAGGGTCACTCACACACACCCAGGGCACACTCAGGGCACACCCAGGGTCACTCACACACACCCAGGGCACACCCAGGGTCACTCACACACACTCAGGGCACACTCAGGGCACACCCAGGGTCACTCACACACACCCAGGGCACACCCATGGTCACTCACACACACCCAGGGCACACTCAGGGCACACCCAGGGTCACTCACACACACCCAGGGCACACCCAGGGTCACTCACACACACTCAGGGCACACTCAGGGTCACTCAGACACACACAGGGCACACCCAGGGTCACTCACACACACCCAGGGCACACTCAGGGCACACCCAGGGTCACTCACACACACCCAGGGCACACTCAGGGTCACACACACACCCAGGGTCACTCACACACACACAGGGCACACCTAGGGCACACCCAGGGTCACTCACACACACCCAGGGCACACTCAGGGCACACCCAGGGTCACTCACACACACCCAGGGCACACCCAGGGTCACACACACACACACACACACACACACACACTCACACCCAGGGCACACCCAGGGCACACCCATGGTCACTCACACACACCCAGGGCACACCTAGGGCACACCCAGGGTCACTCACACACACCCAGGGCACACCTAGGGCACACCCAGGGTCACTCACACACACCCAGGGCACACTCATGGCACACTCACACACACCCAGAGCACACTCGCACACACACACACTCACACCCAGGGCACACTCACAGCCCCGCCACGCTCCTACCTGGCTCTCTCGATGGCCTCCGTGCGGTGCACGTTGGACAGTTGTCCCAAGCAGAACCGGTCCCCTCCGGAGGGGTCCACGTACCCGTCCACGGTGACAACGGGACAGCTCGAGGGCACCTTGAAGGTCTCGCCCACCTGCACGTCCATCTCGAAGTAGGCGATGGAGCACCAGTACTCGGGAGCTGCGCGACAACGCGCTCCCCGTCAGGCAGCGCGGGCACCGGGCGGCGGGCACGGCTGCCCGAACCGTGCCATGGGCGCCCGGACCCTGACATGGGCACCCAGACCCTGCCAGGGGCACCCAAACCCTGACATGGGCACCCAAATCCTGCCAGGGGCACCCAGACCCTGCCAGGGGCACCCAAACACTGCCATGGGCACCCAGACCCTGACATGGGCACCCAGACCCTGCCAGGGGCACCCAAATCCTGCCATGGGCACCCAGACCCTGCCATGGGCACCCAGACCCTGCCATGGGCACCCAAATCCTGCCATGGGCACACAAACTCTGCCATGGGTGCCCAATCCGTGCCATGGGCACCCAAACACTGCCATGGGCACCCAAACACTGCCAGGGGCACCCAAATCCTGCCATGGGCACCCAGACCCTGCCATGGGCGCCCAGACCCTGCCATGGGCACCCAGACCCTGCCATGGGCACCCAAATCCTGCCATGGGCACACAAACTCTGCCATGGGTGCCCAATCCGTGCCATGGGCACCCAAACACTGCCATGGGCACCCAAATCCTGCCATGGGCACCCAAATCCTGCCATGGGCACCCAGACCCTGCCATGGGCGCCCAAATCCTGCCATGGGCACCCAGACCCTGCCATGGGCACACAAACCCTGACATGGGCACCCAGACCCTGCCAGGGGCACCCAAATCCTGCCATGGGCACCCAGACCCTGCCATGGGCACACAAACCCTGACATGGGCACCCAGACCCTGCAATGGGCACCCAGACCCTGCCATGGGCGCCCAGACCCTGCCATGGGCACCCAAACCCTGCCATGGGCACCCAAATCCTGCCATGGGCACCCAAACTCTGCCATGGGTGCCCAGACCCTGCCATGGGCACCCAAATCCTGCCATGGGCACCCAAACACTGCCATGGGCACCCAAACACTGCCATGGGCACCCAATCCGTGCCATGGGCACCCAGACCCTGCCATGGGCGCCCAGACCCTGACATGGGCACCCAAACACTGCCAGGGGCACCCAAACCCTGCCAGGGGCACCCAGACCCTGACATGGGCACCCAGACCCTGACATGGGCACACAAACCCTGCCATGGGCACCCAGACCCTGACATGGGCACCCAGACCCTGCCATGGGCACACCTGGGCACACCCAGACACACCTGGGCACACCCAGACACACGTTGGCACAGCCTGACACACCTGGGCACACCTGGGCACACCTGGGCATACCCAGGCACACCTGGGCACACCCGGACACACCTGGGCATACCCAGGCACACCTGGGCACACCCAGACACACCTGGGCACAGCCGGGCACACCCACCCACCACAGTGCCGCCCTCAGCGCTGCCCACCTTCCCTGGCACCGGTGCCAACCCCCCCTCCCACCTCCTATCCCCATTTACTGAAGGAAGGTCCCCTCATCCCCATGAGAAGCGGGCACACCTGTGCCCACCTGTGCCCGCCTGTGCCCGCCTGTGCCCGCCTGTGCCCGCCTGTGCCCGCCGGGCATCACTCACCAGGATGGTTGGAGATGGGCGGCTGGAAGGCGAGCTCGTTGTGCACCGGCCCTGGAGGAGAAAACACGTTTTTAATTGGCATCATTAATCCATCGATATGCTAATTAACGGCGTGAATTCATTAACGAACGGCGCTCATTAACCTCGTGCATATTCTAACTCTGAGCGCTCCTTTTGTTTCGCGATCCCTACGATTGTTGATTAATTAAACATCTTATTAATGCATCCATCTCCCAATTTATTGATCAATCAGCCCCTTGATATGCTAATTACCAGCGTTAATTAATTAATTAATTAATGAACAGTGTTAATTAACCTCGCGCATATTCTAACAGAGGAAACTCTGAGCGCTCCTTTTGTTTTGCGATCCCTACGATTGTTTATTAATTAAACATCCTGCTGATGCATCGATCTCCCAATTTATTGATCAATCAGCCCCTTGATATGCTAATTAACAGCGTTAATGAACAGCGTTCATTAGCCTCGTGCATATTCTAACGGAGGAAACTCCGACCCCTCCTTTTGTTTTCCATTACCTATAATTGTTTATTAAACATCTTATTAATGCATCCATCTCCCAATTTATTGATCAATCAGCCCCTTGATATGCTAATTAACAGCGCTAATGAATGAATTAATTAACGAACGGCGTTCATTAACCTCGCGCATATTCTAACGGAGGAAACTCGAGGATTTCAGTTTTCTCCGCCAGCCCATCGCGAGCTCGGATTTTGCGTCATGCACGGGGTTAATTAACGCTGTTAATTACGCAAAGTGACTGATGGATCAATAAACGGGAGTTCGAGGCGTCACCAGGACGGTCGCTTCTCCCCTTCACTTCAACAGGGGCTGTGAGGGGTTCACAGGCAGAAATGAGGGTGCTGTGAGGGGTTCACAGGCAGAAATGAGGGTGCTGACAGGGGTTCACAGGCAGAAATGAAGGGGCTGTGAGGGCAGTGCAGATGTGAGGGGGCTGTGAGGGGTTCACAGGCAGAAATGAGGGTGCTGTGAGGGGTTCACAAGCAGAAATGAGGGTGCTGAGAGGGGTTCACAAGCAGAAATGAGGGTGCTGAGAGGAATTCACAAGCAGAAATGAGGGTACTGAAAGGAATTCACAAGCAGAAATGAGGGGGCTGTGAGGGGTTCACAAGCAGAAATGAGGAGGCTGTGAGGGGTTCACAAGCAGAAATGAGGGTTCTGTGAGGGCAGAGCACAGGCAGGAGTGAGGGGGCTGTGAAGGATTAACAGGCAGAAATGAGGGTGCTGAGAGGAATTCACAAGCAGAAATGAGGGTGCTGACAGGGGTTCACAGGCAGAAATGAGGGTTCTGTGAGGGCAGAGCAGAAATGAGGGTGCTGAGAGGAATTCACAAGCAGAAATGAGGGTGCTGAGAGGGGTTCACAAGCAGAAATGAGGGTGCTGAGAGGAATTCACAAGCAGAAATGAGGGTGCTGAGAGGGGTTCACAAGCAGAAATGAGGGTGCTGAGAGGGGTTCACAGGCAGAAATGAGGGGGCTGTGAAGGATTAACAGGCAGAAATGAGGGTGCTGAGAGGGGTTCACAAGCAGAAATGAGGGTGCTGAGAGGGCACAGCACAGGCAGGAGTGAGGGGGCTGTGAAGGATTAACAAGCAGAAATGAGGGTGCTGAGAAGAATTCACAAGCAGAAATGAGGGTGCTGTGAGGGCAGAGCAGATGTGAGGGGGCTGTGAGGGGTTCACAAGCAGAAATGAGGGTGCTGAGAGGGGTTCACAGGCAGACGTGAGGGTGCTGTGAAGGCAGAGAACAGGCAGGAGTGAGGGGGCTGTGAAGGATTAACAGGCAGAAATGAGGGTGCTGAGAGGGGTTCACAGGCAGAAATGAGGGTGCTGAGAGGGGTTCACAAGCAGAAATGAGGGGGCTGTGAGGGGTTCACAAGCAGAAATGAGGGGGCTGTGAAGGATTAACAGGCAGAAATGAGGGTGCTGTGAGGGGTTCACAAGCAGAAATGAGGGGGCTGAGAAGAATTCACAAGCAGAAATGAGGGTGCTGAGAGGGGTTCACAGGCAGAAATGAGGGTGCTGAGAGGGGTTCACAAGCAGAAATGAGGGTGCTGTGAGGGCAGAGCACAGGCAGATGTGAGAGTGCCGAGAGGGCAAGGCACAGACAGGCGCTCCCAGCTGTCACACACGGACACACGGACACACGGACACAGCAGCGTTCTCTCACAGTAGTGTCCGGGGTGCATGGGCGGGTGGTGCTGCAGGTGCCCGTTCTGGTGGTGCGGGATGCTGGGCGTGTAGGCGGCCGTGCGGCTCCCGGTCCAGCTGGTGGTGCTGTCTGCAAAGACACCGCCTGACATCAGCAAGGTGTGTTGTGGTTGGTCAGGTTCAAAGGATGCCCCTCAGCCCTGGGGGTCATTGGCCTGTCTGGGTGTCATTGTCCCTTGAGACCCCGCCCCTCTCACCTGGTTGGTGCTCAGTTGTCCCCGCCCCCTGTCCCTGAGCTGAAAAGGTCAATCAGACCATGTGGTGTATTCTGTTGGAGCTGTTGTTCACATTCACTGGCCCAGGCACCATCTCACTGGTAATACTGGGATTCCTATTCCAACACCATGCTGCTGTAAGGGTCCATCACTATGACTACCTGTCAATCGACTGGGAGGGTTGTCGCCGTGCGCTGTAATGTCCCATTTTAGACTTCCGGGTCAGGTGTGCCTGTACCTGTCTCCCTTCCCCCCATGCTGAGTGAGTCCTGTCAATCAGGCTGAACATTCCAGCAAGGCCATCTCACTGGTGACACTGGGATTCCTAAACCAACACCCCGCTGCAATGCCCAGCAGCAGCAACACCCGCACGGCGCCCGCCGCCCCCTCGCCGTGCCCGGCCCAGGCAGGAGCTCACTCGTGGAGGCCACGGGAATGTTGGGGAAGTTGGTGGTGCTGGTGGTGCTGGACTCGGCGGGCGCCAACATGGCGGGCGCGCTGAAGGGCTCCGAGCCGGCCCGGTTGCCGGGCGGGTGTTGGATGGTCTGCACCGAGTGACCCTCGGCCGACGACGACAGCGACGGCTGCCCCTCGTAGTCGTGCACGTACTCGTCCTTCACCAGCATGCTGGGCGGGGCTGCGGGGACACAGCCGTCACTCACGGCGCACGGGCAGGGGACACACAGGGGGACAGAGGTGTCACTCACGGGGCACGGGCAGGGGACACACAGGGGGACAGCATGGGGACGGCACCGTCACTCACAGGGACAGCATGGGGACGGTGCCGTCACTCACAGGGACACACAGGGGGACAGAGCTGTCACTCACGGGGCACGGGCAGGGGACACACAGGGGGACAGGATGGGGACAGAGGTGTCACTCACGGGGCACGGACAGGGCACACAGGGGGACAGAGCTGTCACACACAGGGCATGGACAGGGCACACAGGGGGACAGAATTGTCACTAAACAGGGCACGGGCACACAGGGGGACAGAGGCGTCACTAAACAGGGCACGGACAGGGGACACGGGGGACAGAGCTGTCACTCACAGGGCACGGACAGGGCACACAGGGGGACAGAGCTGTCACACACAGGGCATGGACAGGGCACACAGGGGGACAGAATTGTCACTAAACAGGGCACGGGCACACAGGGGGACAGAGGCGTCACTAAACAGGGCACGGACAGGGGACACGGGGGACAGAGCTGTCACTCACAGGGCACGGACGGGGGACACAGGGGGACAGAATTGTCACTAAATGGGGCACGGACAGGGGACACAGGGGGACAGAATTGTCACTAAATGGGGCACGGACAGGGGACACACGGGGACAGCATGGGGACAGAGCTGTCACTCACAGGGACACACAGGGGGACAGAGCTGTCACACACGGGGCACGGACAGAGGACACAGGGGGACAGAATTGTCACTAAACGGGGCACGGACAGGGCACACACACACAGGGATGGCATGGGGACAGTGCCATCAGTGACGGGGCATGGACACAGGGCACACACACACACACACAGGGCGCACACACACACACACACACACACACACAGGGCACACACACACAGGGCACACACACACACACACAGGGCACACACACACACAGCACACACACACACACACACACACACACACACACAGAGCTTTGATTCTGTCCTGAAGGACAATCTTGGTGTTAAACAATGGAATATTTCCATTAAACAACGGGAAATTCAGCTGGGATTCTGCACTGAAGGACAATCTTGGTGTTAAACAATGAAATATTTCCATTAAACAACGGAAAATTCAGCTGTGATTCTGTACTGAAGGACAATCTTGGCGTTAAACAATGGAATATTTCCATTAAACAACAGAAAATTCAGCAGTGATTCTGTCCTGAAGGACAATCTTGGTGTTAAACAATGAAATATTTCCATTAAACAATGGAATATTTCCATTAAACAATGGAATATTTCCATTAAACAACGGGAAATTCAGCTGGGATTCTGCACTGAAGGACAATCTTGGCGTTAAACAATGGAATATTTCCATTAAACAACGGGAAATTCAGCAGTGATTCTGCACTGAAGGACAATCTTGGTGTTAAACAATGAAATATTTCCATTAAACAACGGGAAATTCAGCTGGGATTCTGCACTGAAGGACAATCTTGGTGTTAAACAATGAAATATTTCCATTAAACAATGGAATATTTCCATTAAACAACGGGAAATTCAGCTGGGATTCTGCACTGAAGGACAATCTTGGTGTTAAACAATGAAACATTTCCATTAAACAATGGAATATTTCCATTAAACAACGGGAAATTCAGCTGGGATTCTGCACTGAAGGACAATCTTGGTGTTAAACAATGAAATATTTCCATTAAACAACGGGAAATTCAGCTGGGATTCTGCACTGAAGGACAATCTTGGTGTTAAACAATGAAATATTTCCATTAAACAATGGAATATTTCCATTAAACAATGGAATATTTCCATTAAACAACGGGAAATTCAGTTTTGATTCTTTACTGAAGGACAATCTTGGTGTCAAATAATGAAATATTCCAGCAGTGGAATCTCAGATTTCTGAACGAATCCCACGCCAGATTTCACGTCCAAGCTTCAGGGAAAGCGAGGACATCAGACTCCTTCACTGAATGAACGACAGGATTTCCATTCTTTCTTTTTTATGAATGACATTCAGCATTCCCAATCCGATTCATTCCCAACCCGATTCATTCCCAATCCAATTCATTCCCAATCCAATTCATTCCAAATCCAATTCATTCCCAATCCGATTCATTCCCAATCCGATTCATTCCCAATCCAATTCATTCCCAATCCGATTCATTCCCAATCCAATTCATTCCCAACCCAATTCATTCCCAATCCAATTCATTCCCAATCCAATTCATTCCCAATCCAATTCGTTCCCAATCCAATTCATTCCAAATCCAATTCATTCCCAATCCGATTCATTCCCAATCCGATTCATTCCAAATCCAATTCGTTCCCAATCCGATTCATTCCAAATCCGATTCATTCCCAATCCAATTCGTTCCCAATCCGATTCATTCCGAACCCAATTCATTCCCAACCCAATTCATTCCCAATCCGATTCATTCCCAACCCGATTCATTCCCAATCCAATTCATTCCCAATCCAATTCATTCCCAATCCGATTCATTCCCAATCTGATTCATTCCCAATCCGATACATTCCCAACCCGATTCATTCCCAATCCAATTCATTCCAAATCAAATTCATTCCAAATCCCATTCATTCCCAATCCAATTCATTCCCAACCCGATTCATTCCCAATCCGATTCATTCCCAATCCGATTCATTCCAAATCCATTTCATCCCAATCCAATTCATTCCCAATCCAATTCATTCCCAATCCAATTCATTCCCAATCCGATTCATCCCAAATCCATTTCATCCCAATCCAATTCATTCCCAATCCGATTCATTCCCAATCCGATTCATTCCCAATCCAATTCATTCCAAATCCGATTCATTCCCAATCCAATTCATTCCCAACCCAATTCATTCCCAACCCAATTCATTCCAAATCCAATTCATTCCCATTCCAATTCATTCCCAATCCGATTCATTCCCAATCCAATTCATTCCCAATCCAATTCATTCCCAACCCAATTCATTCCCAATCCGATTCATTCCAAATCCGATTCATTCCCAATCCAATTCATTCCCAACCCGATTCATTCCCAATCCAATTCATTCCAAATCCAATTCATTCCCAATCCGATTCATTCCCAATCCAATTCATTCCCAATCCAATTCATTCCCAACCCGATTCATTCCCAATCCAATTCATTCCAAATCCAATTCATTCCCAACCCAATTCATTCCCAACCCAATTCATTCCAAATCAAATTCATTCCCAATCCAATTCATTCCCAATCCGATTCATTCCCAACCCAATTCATTCCCAACCCGATTCATTCCCAATCCAATTCATTCCAAATCCAATTCATTCCCAACCCAATTCATTCCCAACCCAATTCATTCCAAATCAAATTCATTCCCAATCCAATTCATTCCCAATCCGATTCATTCCCAACCCAATTCATTCCCAACCCAATTCATTCCAAATCCAATTCATTCCCAATCCGATTCATTCCCAATCCAATTCATTCCCAACCCAATTCATTCCAAATCAAATTCATTCCCAATCCAATTCATTCCCAATCCGATTCATTCCCAACCCAATTCATTCCCAACCCAATTCATTCCAAATCCAATTCATTCCCAATCCGATTCATTCCCAATCCAATTCATTCCAAATCCGATTCGTTCCCAATCCAATTCGTTCCCAATCCAATTCATTCCCAATCCGATTCATTCCCAACCCAATTCATTCTCAATCCGATTCATTCCCAATCCGATTCATTCCCAACCCGATTCATTCCAAATCCGATTCATTCCCAATCCAATTCATTCCCAATCCGCTTCATTCCCAATCCAATTCATTCCCAATCCGATTCATTCCCAACCCAATTCATTCCAAATCCCATTCATTCCAAATCCGATTCATTCCCAATCCAATTCATTCCCAACCCAATTCATTCCCAACCCAATTCATTCCAAATCCAATTCATTCCCAGTCCAATTCATTCCCAATCCAATTCATTCCCAATCCAATTCATTCCCAACCCAATTCATTCCCAATCCGATTCATTCCAAATCCAATTCATTCCCAATCCAATTCATTCCCAATCCGATTCATTCCAAATCCGATTCATTCCAAATCCGATTCATTCCCAATCCAATTCATTCCAAATCCAATTCATTCCAAATGCAATTCATTCCCAATCCCATTCATTCCAAATCCGATTCATTCCCAATCCGATTCATTCCCAATCCAATTCATTCCAAACCCAATTCATTCCCAATCCAATTCATTCCCAACCCAATTCATTCCCAACCCAATTCATTCCCAATCCGATTCATTCCCAATCCAATTCATTCCCAATCCCATTCATTCCAAATCCCATTCATTCCCAATCCAATTCATTCCAAATCCAATTCATTCCCAATCCGATTCATTCCCAATCCAATTCATTCCCAATCCGATTCATTCCCAATCCAATTCATTCCAAATCTCATTCATTCCAAACCCGATTCATTCCCAATCCAATTCATTCCCAATCCAATTCATTCCCAATCCGATTCATTCCCAACCCAATTCATTCCCAACCCAATTCATTCCCAATCCGATTCATTCCCAATCCAATTCATTCCCAACCCAATTCATTCCCAATCCGATTCATTCCCAACCCGATTCATTCCCAATCCAATTCATTCCCAATCCAATTCATTCCCAATCCGATTCATTCCCAATCCAATTCATTCCCAATCCCATTCATTCCCAATCCCATTCATTCCCAATCCCATTCATTCCCAACCCAATTCATTCCCAACCCAATTCATCAGCATGTCAGGCAGTTCTGGGGGTCTTTTTTGACTGAGCCGTGGGGTTGTTGGTTTTGTGTGTGTTTCAGGGTGAGAAGCAGCGACCACCGGCACTCACCCGAGCTCTGCAGCGTCAGTCCCGAGAGATCTGCCAAAGGGAACAACGGGGGGAAAAAGGGGCGTTCAGAGATCTACAACGCGTTGAAACGTTTCTCAACCTGTAAAAACCACCCCTGAAGGAGGTTTTTACCCCAGCCGCACACCCCCTTCCGTTGCAAGGCTCGGCTCCTCCGAGGGACACCGCAACCGCGCCAACAAACCCCACGGAGACGCACCGCCAAACGCCAAAACCCCGCAACAACAACCAAACAGCGCACGGACAACGACAAGAGCACGGCGGTCGATCCTGAAGCTGTTAAAAATCAACGTTCCCAACTCGGCGTCGCGCTGCCTGTACCGGGAGGTGTTTCCCGGCGATTTACGGGGGTACTCACCGATGCCGGGTGACACCACGCGCTCATAGTGGTAGGGGTTGACGCAGACGCTGTCGCACTTGAGGTCGAAGGCGTACTGGCAGTACTTGACGTGCTTGAGCTCGTTCTTGTGAAGGTCGGGCCACCGCCAGAGGCGGGCGTAGATGACGTGCGGGAAGCCCTTGCGGCCGGCCACCTGTAGGGACACGGACACGGGTGGGATGTCACCACGTCAGGCCCGAGGTGCAGAGACACCGAGACAACACCCGGGGAGATCGGAGGTTCTGGGGTGTAGCCAGGAGGGTTTGGGGGTTGGATGTTGAGATGAGAGCGGTGTGAGGATGGGAGGATCTCATGGGGATGAATGGTGGTTGATTGGAGTGTGAGACGTGGATCCACCACAAGGGTTGGGAGTGACCATGGAGATCCACCTGAAGGGTTGGAGATCCACCTGAAGGATGGAAGTGACCATGGAAATCCACCTGAAGGGTTGGAGATCCACCTGAAGGGTTGGAAATGACCATGGAGATCCACCTGAAGGGTTGGAGATCCACCTGAAGGATGGAAGTGACCATGGAGATCCACCTGAAGGGTGGGGAGTGACCATGGAGATCCACCTGAAGGGTGGGAAATGACCATGGAGATCCACCTGAAGGGTTGGGAGTGACCATGGAGATCCACCTGAAGGGTGGGAAATGACCATGGAGATCCACCTGAAGGGTGGGAAATGACCATGGAGATCCACCTGAAGGGTGGGAAATGACCATGGAGATCCACCTGAAGGGTGGGGAGTGACCATGGAGATCCACCTGAAGGGTTGGGAGTGACCATGGAGATCCACCTGAAGGGTGGGGAGTGACCATGGAGATCCACCTGAAAGGTGGGAATGACCATGGAGATCCACCTGAAGGGTTTGAGATCCACCTGAAGGGTTGGGAGTGACCATGGAGATCCACCTGAAGGGTGGGGAGTGACCATGGAGATCCACCTGAAGGGTTGGAGATCCACCTGAAGGGTGGGAAGTGACCATGGAGATCCACCTGAAGGGTTGGGAGTGACCATGGAGATCCACCTGAAGGGTTGGGCATCGGTGGGACAGGGAGTGGATCCTGACCAAGGACAGCCAGGGTTGTGCTCAGCACAGCCCACAGTGACAGTGCTGAACCGGGGACCACAGCGCTGGCACTGCAGGGCTGGCCGGGGACAGGGACGGGGACAGCACTGAGCTGACAGGGACAGCACTGAGCTGACAGGGACAGGGACAGCACTGAGCTGACAGGGACAGCACTGAGCTGACAGGGACAGCACTGAGCTGACAGGGACGGGGACAGCACTGAGCTGACAGGGACAGCAGTGAGCTGACAGGGACGGCACTGAGCTGACAGGGACAGGGACAGCACTGAGCTGACAGGGACAGCACTGAGCTGACAGGGACAGTGACAGCACAGGGGTGTCCAGGCTGGGTTTGTGAGGGCGCTGCCCTGCACCGCCGCACGCAGACAGGCAGAGCAGGGCAGAGCAGACCAGAATGGTGCCCCGCTCCCAGCGGCCTCGTGCCCCCGCGCAGGAGGAGGGCAGCTCTGCAGCAGAGCCGCAGCACAGCCGGCGGAGCAGGGCTCTGCCCCGTCCCTCGGCAGCTCCCCAGCAGGAACACGCACACACACTGCATTGCACCGGTACCAACCTGCAGCCTCCCGTCCAGCGTCCTCTGTATTGTAACACACTTGCTAGGGTGAGCTCCGTTTGTGGTTATAGCTGTAATCAGAGAATCCAATTCATCTTTTTTCTCCTTCAGCTTTTTAACTAAGCTCTCGATTGCGCGCTTGGCGAAAGTCTCGCTCTCTCCACCTTGTCGATGGCACATCAAGCTGTGAACAATGCTCAGACAAGCATCATTACTTGTTGGTGTGTTAGTAATAGACATATTGTCCATCTGTCACAGCTTGTTCTTTCAGATCAAATGTCAGTTTTGGGGGCTGTTATGACTTTCAAGCTGATGAACAAGAGATGATCCAAGTTAAGTGTTAGATGTAGTGTCCCTTGGTAAAACCTAGGAGGAAAAAACATCTACATTAGAATGGTTTTTAAGGTTTTTAACACATCGCAGATCATGTGTTAAAATGATGCGTAATCATCATTCCTTTCTAAGGAAGCCTGTGGCTTTTCTTCTCCTTTTATTTTCAGGATATTAAAAGCACATGAAAAAACTGCCTTGCTTGTCCCATGACAGCTGAAACATGCCTGGGGCGGCCCGCACAGTTTTAGATGCAGGATTTATTCCTCCCCTAGTAACAACATTTAAATAGAGGTTATTTATGCGCGCACAGCAAGGCAGGGATCCTCAGGCGAACCAGGAGAGGCCGCGATGATTCCCCAGGGCTCATCGCAGCAGACGAAAGGCGGTGAGAGCACGGGGTGGGGTTCCAGGGCGCTGACGTGAGCAAGCCCTGAGCAGGGAGGGAGGAAGCACCAGGGCACCCGGATCCGTCCGGCCTCACTCACAGCCCTGCCCACGGCTCAGCCTCCTCGCACCGGCTCTGCTCCTCCCTGCTGGCCACAAGGGCTGGCAAAAACTCAGGAACCCTTCCCACTGGTGCTCCTCAGAGAAGGAGCCTGGCTGAGGCTGCCACCGAGCTGCGCCGGCCCTCCAGGCAGCCCCGGCTCCATGGAAGCACCAGCCACGGCACTCGCACGGGCCCTGGCCTCCCCAGAACACGGCCAGCAAACACACACGAGTGATTTTACCACGTTTTCCGAGCAGCCTCTCTGAGAACCACCGCGCCCTTCCCGACCGTGTAAATAAAATAAATACATCCGATTTCAAAAGTTCAGGGAAAAACAAGCCTGTCACTCTGTCTCAGGAGGAACACATCCAGTCAGAGACCTGTTACTGCACTGGAATTTCCCATGTTATTAGAGGCACCGAAGTAGCAGCTATTTATTGGAAACAAATGTGTGGCACAAAATAAGAGTGAGATGTTAATTTAGAAAGTTATGGCACCACACATGTGAGCACGTGGCTCCCCTCCGTGTAAAACGAATGCTGTTAGACAAACTTTAAGAGGAAACAGACTCCTCCTTATCTGGCATTTTCTACTATTCCAGTTTTAACTGGAATACATCACTCTTTGGTATATTTGAAAAAATACACGGTGAAAATCCTTCCCCTCCCTCCATATTCCAGCCTTTTCCTCTTTTGCAAGGATGCTTCTGCACTTGATTTTTCCCAAAGGAAAGCAATTATCTCTAAATGGGAGTAGGATCACGGATTTTACCTAGCTATTAAATTTCTCCCTCTGTGCTGGGGTTTTTTTGTGCTTCAATTCAAAAAGCCCTTTCAAAAGCCAAGCTTAAACCGCCAGTCACTCTCTATGGCAACTCACACTAATCTGCAAAGCCTGTCAGCTGAAACAGAATAGAACATCATTTCCCTTAAATACTGCACACCACCCGGACAGATACGCACAAGCAATCACAAATAAACGCCCTGATAAAGCCATTAGCTACAGGAGCTTTAAATGAAGAGACAATTAAAATTAGACACAAATGAGACACGCAGCTTCATCATCTCCCCGAGCCCTGAAACCATGAATGAGGATTGTGCCAGGCACAGAGCGGTGAGGACAGTGGGCACCAGCTCAGGGCAGGAATGGTGCCCGGGCACAGAGGGCAGCGGGCAGCAGCTCAGGGTGCCCGGGCACACAGGGCAGCGGGCACCAGCTCAGGGTGCCCGGGCACAGAGGGCAGCGGGCAGCAGCTCAGGGTGCCCAGGCACAGAGGGCAGCGGGCAGCAGCTCAGGGTGCCCGGGCACACAGGGCAGCGGGCACCAGTTCAGGGCAGGAATGGTGCCCGGGCACAGAGGGCAGCGGGCAGCAGCTCAGGGTGCCCAGGCACAGAGGGCAGCGGGCAGCAGCTCAGGGTGCCCGGGCACACAGGGCAGCGGGCACCAGTTCAGGGCAGGAATGGTGCCCGGGCACAGAGGGCAGCGGGCAGCAGCTCAGGGTGCCAGGGCACAGAGCGGTGAGGGCAGCGGGCAGCAGCTCAGGGTGCCAGGGCACACAGGGCAGTGGGCACCAGTTCAGGGCAGGAATGGTGCCCGGGCACAGAGGGCAGCGGGCAGCAGCTCAGGGTGCCAGGGCACACAGGGCAGTGGGCAGCAGCTCAGGGTGCCAGGGCACAGAGGGCAGCGGGCAGCAGCTCAGGGTGCCAGGGCACACAGGGCAGTGGGCAGCAGCTCAGGGTGCCCGGGCACACAGGGCAGCGGGCAGCAGCTCAGGGTGCCAGGGCACACAGGGCAGCGGGCAGCAGCTCAGGGTGCCCGGGCACAGAGGGCAGCGGGCACCAGTTCAGGGCAGGAATGGTGCCCGGGCACAGAGGGCAGCGGGCACCAGCTCAGGGTGCCAGGGCACACAGGGCAGCGGGCAGCAGCTCAGGGTGCCAGGGCACAGAGGGCAGCGGGCAGCAGCTCAGGGTGCCCGGGCACAGAGGGCAGCGGGCAGCAGCTCAGGGTGCCCGGGCACAGAGGGCAGCGGGCACCAGCTCAGGGTGCCTGGGCACACAGGGCAGCGGGCACCAGCTCAGGGTGCCCGGGCACAGAGGGCAGCGGGCACCAGCTCAGGGTGCCCGGGCACACAGGGCAGCGGGCAGCAGCTCAGGGTGCCCGGGCACACAGGGCAGCGGGCACCAGCTCAGGGTGCCCGGGCACACAGGGCAGCGGGCAGCAGCGCCCAGACCGCGTGGCACATTTCTGCAGAGGCAGCCGTGTTTCCCGAGGGCGGGCCAATGCCCACAGTGCACAAATGCAGCTCCCCACAAACAGCTCGGGCAGCCCCCCTTCAGCTCGGTCGCACGCTGGGGAGGCGTCTCCGCGCCTCCCGACCACGGAGCAAGCAGCACGCGGCAAAGGGACGAGCTAATGCAAGGCACTAACGAGCAGGAGATGCCAATGCTTTAAAAACAAATTAAAAATGCCTGTAGGGTGGACAGAGCCATGCAGCACATGCCAGGGTGCCCGGAGATCACAGCCCCAGCGGGACAGGGAGCGGCTCCTGACCCAGCCCGGCCCCACAGAGCGCTCGGCCAAGGTAAAGCACTGACACAAAGTGTTTCACAAAGCCACAGAGAAGGGCCAGATAACACCCAGGGCCAACGGTTCTAGAGGGCTTTTCCAGCCTGAACAAGGCTACGGTCCCGTGCCACACAAAGTAATTTGTTACGTCAGCTGAGCAATAGCGAGTGAATTACAAAACAAGCAAAGGACAACTAGAGCTCCAGGTAAGCTAAGCAGCACAACAAGAGCCGCCCAAGGGGAGGTAAGTCCGAAACACAAAGGAAGTTTGGAGTGCCAGGGTCGCCTTTGCCCGTGTGCAGGGAAGGACAACCGGCTGCTAACTGGAGCTGCTCCAGCCTGCAGCAGCTGCACACGGAGCAAACAGCACACTGCTGCACTGCAACGCTGCAGCGCTGACATGACAGGCAGCCCTGCAATGACATGCAACACACGAGGCACCTGTGCAACACTGGCAACGCAGCGCTGTGGCGCACACACACACACACACACACACACACACACACACCCAGCGCTGTGGCGCACACACACACACACACACACACACACCCCCAGCACTGTGGCACACACACACACACACACACACACAGAGCGCTGTGGCACACACACACACACACACACACACACCCCCATCGCTGTGGCACACACACACACACACACACACACACACACACACCCAGCGCTGTGGCGCACACACACACACACACACACACACACCCCCAGCACTGTGGCACACACACACACACACACACACACACACAGAGCGCTGTGGCACACACACACACACACACACACACACCCCCATCGCTGTGGCACACACACACACACACACACACACACACACACCCAGCACTGTGGCACACACACACACACACACACCCAGCGCTGTGGCACACACACACACACACCCCCAGCACTGTGGCACACACACACACACACACACACACACACCCAGCGCTGTGGCACACACACACACACACACACCCAGCACTGTGTGACACTGGCAATGCAGCTCTAGTCATTCAGCCATGCAAGTTTTTAAACTTAGCTGAAAAATCACTGCAAGGCCGGTGGATACCTCTGCCAGAAGGGTTCCCTGAGGCCCCCAGGCAGATCCCCAAAGGTCCAGCTGCCCCCCCAGCCCCACCTCGCAGAGCCGGAACCAGCACGGCCGATGTGCCCGGGGGCGAGAGCGGCCCTGCCGAGCCGAGCTGCCCGGAGCCTGCCCTGCCGTGCTTATGCTGCTGTGAGGGTCAGCAATGCCAAACAAGCCCCCCGCGGCCCGAGCGCGCCGCTGCTTGGCACCAGCGGGGACGCGCTCTCCCCAAACAGCGATGGCCCTGCCGCTGTGCCCAGATAACGCGACAAGGTTCCGCACTCCGCATCCCTGCACGGGCCCGGGGGGCGCTCCCTGCTGCAGCTGCTCCCCATCAGCCAAAGCACACGAGGGGACAGACAGCGCCTTCGTGGAACAGAAATTCAACATTCCAGCCCCGCACCAGCACCGCAGCACTGCAGGCCGGCACAGCCCCCCAGGAACAAGAACTCTCACACGCCAATAAAACACGGGTGAGAAAAACACGGCTCCCAAACCTTCCCAGCAGCTCTTCAGGCAGCAAATGAAGCATTAAGAGATAGCATCACTTGGATGGCCTGGCCTGAGGCCCACGAGTTGCTGAGGTACGTTTCAGTCCGACGCTCTACAGAGCAGCAGGCACACACACACACGGAGCCTGAAGAAGGCGTTTAGAAAGAGAGAAAAGTCTTCCTGATTTTCATGGTTAGGAAGAAAAACTCACGTGGATTTCACCTCCCTGCCTTTATGGAGGTGTTACTACCGCTGAGGCATAAAGGGCAGGGGCTG